TTAAACTTTGGTCAAAAGAGTTAGTAACTTCGTGGAAAGTGATTTGCACTTCACTGTTACGGAACTACGCTGTAAAGAATTTGAAAACTGACAAACTAAAATATGCTACTCGAACAATTGTTTGCAATCTAAGTGTCTAGTGTTATGGAGACATTTTAATGAGTAGATGAGGCACTACAGACCGTGTTAGAAATGACAAGGGAGAGTAATTTTGAGTAACATTTTCAATGTTGTTTTGCCGTTACAGTAATTCTAAGGATGACGTTTACTCAGATGACAAACAATTCCACTGAAAAGAATGAAAAATCACATATTGTACAAAGTAGAGCTATGATAGTAGAGTTATATATTATTCACTTTCAAATAACTAGGTCAATGACCTACTTTTCATGTTAGTGGCCCCTGGGTATTTCTTGGAAAATACATCATTTTTTTACACTATATATTTTCATTACTAACAAAATATAACAAGTAAAAAAAACTCATGGACAATAGAATATAGTATAAATGGAATAGATTCACTAAATATAAGTAAACAATTAGACTTTGAACAATAAACCTCTTCCTTACATCAGTTCGATTATCCTCTATCAGTTTTCTATTTTTTACAATTACAAAAATCTTATTGTTAAAAACTCTAAACTATTTATATCATCAGTTTTCTTTTGTTGCCTTTATTATGCCCGCTATTAAAATTATACGAATGCTTTTTGTTTATATTTTTGAAATTCTTCATTGCACGCCATTCTTTCATTTGAAATACTTCATGAGCTTAAACACAGATAAAATTTGTAAAATTGTGCTAAAACAAAGAGAATCTTTACTTTATAAATAATATTGCAAGAAAAAAAATATGATTTAAAAAAGAAATAAAAATTAAATTTAGTCAGAATTTTCTCTACATTGCCATGAACTTTTTTTGTACTTGCATATTTTCTTCAGATAATAAAGTTAAAATTTTAATTTTTTATATTGATGTTGAATTAAAACATGGTTATTTTGTTTATTTAGATCAATTTGAATTAACATATTCATTGTGCTTTATAGCATTCCATTTCTATCGACTAAACCCTGAGTAAACGTCACCCTAAGAAGTGCTCCGTGGTGACAAGATTAATGTTGTTTTTACATTTGAAAATATGCTGATCTTAAATCTTTTAAAAATCATATGATAAAGAGCAAGATTGTCTACGTATTTTTTGAATGACCCTCTATTTGTACATTAGATATCAATCTGATTGTACTCTGAAATTGACATTAAAAAGATGCTCAAGTTTCTGATTGACAATATCTATGTGGTTTTTGGAGACCAGGTCTTCCAACAATCTATTGGAATTTTCCAATTGCGCCCCGTTATTAGCAGACCTATTTTTTGTATTCCAATGAAGCAGAATTCGTTCATAATCTTTTACGTGAAAAGAAGAAAACACTGCTGTGGCCTTCAACTCGACATTTAGATATTTGGACGACGTATTGTCAATTAACGATGGTTATTTCCATTCTTATGTCGGCACGATATATCCCGGTGAGCTTGAAATAAAAGATACCACAAAGTTTGACACATCTGTTTCATATTTAGATATTTTATTAGAAAAAGACGTTAATGGTAATCTAACAACAAAGCTTTATGATAAACGTGATGACTTTAACTTTTCAACCGTCAACTTCCCTTACTTATGCAGCAATATACCCTTATCACCTGCATGCGGGGTCTATATCTCTCAGTTGATTCGATACATAAGAGCATGCTCTACGTATGAACAATTTCTAAAACGAGATAAATTATTGACAAACAAGTTGATGAAACAAGAATATCAGCAGTCTCATTTAAAGTCACCATTTCGTAAGTTCTATGGTCGATACAATTACCTTGTCAGCAAATACAATCTTTCATTAAGTCAAATGCTGATGACTTATTTTCATACTAATTGTTAGGTCATTTTTTACACACTGAATTGTCGACGGATTTTCCTGTTATTTCCCGATCATGACAAGGGGCACAAGGCGGGTGTTACCGGTCGGCAGGGGATGCTCACTCCTCCATGGCACCTGATCCCACCTCTGATGTCTTAGAGGTCCGTGTTTGCTCTGCTCCTATTTTGTAATTTTTAATGGACTTTTGAGCTCAAATACTATTCGTTATCTCCACATATTTCATTAAAAAACCAAGAGAAGCAAATGGAACAGGGATTGTACTGTGTTTACAATGTGTATAATGTGTTTTATTGAAACATACTATTGTGATCTTAGTTTGGTGATAGTTAGTTATAGTACATACAGACAAGTAAATAGATCTGCTCCTTGAGTTGTTGCTGATTATCAGTTATATTATTCTTCTTATTCCTGACAGTCCTAAGTCACTTGTTTTTGAGCAACATTGCATTTATATCTCTCAGATTAATTTGTTTTATTATAAGTATCAAATTGCCATTGTATGTATCCTCTACAGAGTTGTATTATACTCAGGTGAACTTAAAAGCCCTTGGGCCTCTTCTAATTATATATATATATATATATATATATATATATATATATATGTATATATATATATATATATATATATATATATATATATATATATATATATATATATATATATATATATATATAAAATTCATTTGGAATGTACAGGATTTTAACACTTGGTAAATCTGTTTCCAATTTTTTAAAAAAAAAAAAAAATCCATCTAAATTGATTTAAGCTGAAACTGATCTTTCATGTATTTTATGAGAGACGCAAATGGGGTCTGACAATTTCTTAGAGATATGAAGAATTGATTATAAATAACACTGAATAGGATTTGAATTGAAAGAGACTCATGGCCATGCAAATTCTAATCATGTTAGTAGTAAGACGATTGCAAAATCAGTGAAATACATTTAGCTTTGTCACGGAAGGAGACGATGTTTATCCTGATGATTTGAGTGAGGGGAGGTACTTAGCATTGTTGTTTTTATTTGACAAATTTGAACTATTTTGCTTTAAACTCATCTCTCTGAGCTGAAAGCCTTTTGTTGTCATTTTATTTAACATATCGGAGTTCGTCAACCACTGTAATTTGTAACTGTCTGGTATGTTTCCACTGAAAATTTGAACTGTCCTAATGGGACTATAATATTCCCCTGGGTAACAAAAGAAAAGGCATAGTTTTAAATAGCTATAAAAGGAAATATGCCATAAAAATTAAACTAAAATTCCTGAGGTCTGAGACTTGTTGATATATAATCGGTCGAAGGTTGTAGAATCTGTAACGTTCCTCTGCTTCAAAGTTATGGCAAGACTTTTTATGCACTTCTGAAGCCTATGACCCTAACCAACATTTATTTCTGAAATATAAGCTTCTAATTATTCTCCATTTAAAAACTGTGCCTAGAAAAAAAACGTAATTGACCTTATCCACATGGACTTTTATCAGGGTCAATACACTCTACTGATCACTTTCTACTTTTGTCAAGTATAATTAAGTTTCTAAAATTTTCCATGTTTAAAAGAAATGGCTAGAAGAGAATTATGCTGTTCTTATTTTTGAAACCAACAAAAGTAATCAATGTACCTTGATCTGAAATTGCAAATATTAACCTTAATATTTAAAAACCCTATAGAACGTAATCTAATTAATATATCTCAGATATCTAGTGTTAAAAACACAAATTATTATTTTGTTTCAGTCTAATAACCTTCTTCATGATAGGATACTGTAAATTGCACTTGTGCAAAGTTTTGTGTAACAAGTTTGAAATCATTCCGTATCCTTAGGAGAAAAAAAAAACTACATTAAATTTTATTTCTTTTTTTTAAGAAAATAGGCATTTTGTTGAAAAATGTAATTGTTCATGAATCTATATTAAAATGTTGATGTCAGATATCGATCGACGACGTTTTATCAATTAACAAATGAATTCATGAATTCATGTTTCGTCTCGATATATCACGAATAAGAAACATCTAAAAGACAAACGTTTAGTGTTCTAAGTTTCACATTAAAATGTATAAACCGAAATATTTTTCTACAATCAGAAGGTATTAGGGATAACATATTGATTATTTATAAATATATTCTAGTGAATAAGGTATTCTTTCAAGCTTTAAGTAACAATCGTCCAGCGCTTTGTTAAACAAAGACTTCTCTACAACCATTGAAAAAGTGATTACACTCGTGTAGATGGAATTTAAAATCACGAAATAAACATTATAACATCAAGCTTTTAACATTTGTCGTCTCCGGGAGGTTAATTGTAAACTGCATGGAACAACTTTTCCGGAATCTATATTGACATAAAAAAAACTTGATATCATAAAAAATGCAAACGCCTACTTGAGTTTCATCATAATCGATCAATACATTTGAAAATAAAACAAAGTGTACCTTTCATATTTTGAAAAGTCTATGTTTTGCACTATAATGATACATTACATTATATTTATATCTTAAAAGTGTATATATTGCTTTATAAAGATACATTAACTTATGAACCACTGAAATTAAAGACAGTAAAAAGGCTGTTCTATATTTAAAAAGATAGACTTTGAAGTTTAAAAAAACGTACTGAACACGACCTTTCAGAAAGAAGGAAGATTTTTTGTTTAGTGATTGATTGTTTGTTCCTTTAAAAAATTAAAAAAATAAACTCATGTCAATTTCTTTATTATTTGTTAAACTTCTAATACTTTTCCAAGAAAATAAAAATTGAAACAATTACGATGTCGCTTTTGAAGGGCTGTAATCTAATTTTGTTATTTTATCTATCCTACTGCTTTTTATCGTTAAAAACTTTTTAGGATACAACAGTAAAAGAATATTAATATTTTACCACATTGTTCAATTGTATCAGAGAATTTCAAATATTTGACGTATATTCAAGTGCTATTCAAATGCTGCGATAGGTTCTAAAGTTCTGGCAATATCTGATCATGAATAAAAAGAAGTAATAAACAATAAATTACTCATGATCCTAAAATCCATTCAAATGCTTTGATTGTAAAATAGCCCGCTACTTACCATCGGTAACATTATGGGGACATTTCTTCTCATCGAATTCAGACTCATCAAAGGCCAAACCAAAGTCGATGGTCAGAAATGCATACTCTCCGTTGAGTAGACCTATTTCAGCTGCAGCACACATGATACCCATGACGTCGCGGGGGTAAGCGTATATCAGGAACACTAAAGAAAATAAGGCATGGTAAAAAAATAAATAAATCCACTCTACGCATGTATGAACTGGACAGAAAATTATTTTTTTTAATTCTAGTACATTGTAACTTGTCTTTTTTGTGAGCCTTATAAGAACTCTCTCTTTAGATTTTCCTTTGTTTTAGCTTTAATAGAAGCAAAGTAAAGAATTTCAATGCTGAGAAGAAGATTGTCTCTGGAAGGATAATGCATTTAATTGTTTATTAGCGAAACACTTTTTTAAATACAATGAAGATAATAAATCTATATTAAAAATATTTTGAATGGAACTTTTTGAATGAGCATTACGAAAATCAGAGAGAGAGAGAGAAAAAAAAAGAAAGAGAGAGAGACTACCCCTTGTTGTTTTAGATTCCCTTTCGAGGTGATGAGTAAGGTACACCGGGTCGTTGTAAACTGTTAATATGTTCACATCAAAACCTTGTCCTTCAAGTTCTACCTGTGTATATATATGTAAGTTAATAGAGAAAAATATATTCTGTACACATAAATATTGGTTTATTCTTTTTGTATATAAACTTTTTGAAGATATAATGATCTGAGATTACAAGAAAGTGAGAGATCTGATTCGGATACAAATTTTGATTGATTTTTATGGTCCTCTGTCTTTATCAGATATGCAAATGAAAAAAAGGTGAAGATAACGAACAGTGATCGATCTCTAAAACATACAAACAATACAAATCTGTTCACAGGGCATAAAACCTGGAAATTCCAGTGTTGGATCAGGCACTAGTAGGTGTGCAACCCCTGTTTACGGGTCACACCCGCCTTGAGCCCCATGTATTGATCAGGTAGGCGGAGTCAAATTGAGTATAAAATAAAGGCCTTACAATTGGTATGAAAAGTATCAAAATACGACCCAATGGTAAGTTGTGTTTCCTAGCTAGGTCATTATAACAACCATAGAAGTTACGAAATGCTGTCTTCTAAATGAGGATGTTAAAATTCCTGTCACATCAACTTCTTTTTCAGTTCTTTATTTGTTAGTATTTGCCTCTGTTTAAAAATTGATCGTACTCATAGCGCGCTCTTGAGTGTCGAATAAATTGAATGACATAACACCATATGCAGGTGATAGTGAAATATTACATTATTCATAAATAAGAAGAGTTGACGATGGAAAAGCACGTTTGAAATACAGTTTAATTTTTTAGTTGGCCCTGAAATAGCGTCTGTAAAACATCCAAATATGAATCAGATGTGGCAGCCTTTGTGGTGTCCTATTTCGAGTTCACTGGAATATATAGAGTCGGATGCAAGTAACTTGTTAATTAATTATAGTTTATTTATCTGAATGTCGAATTGACGGCCACACCAAGTGTTTTTTTGTTTCTTCTTTTGTAGAAGTTTTTGAATAAATTCTGCTTCATAGGAATAAAAAAAACCCAGGTCGGTTAATAAAGGAGAACAATTAGGGCCATCGATATTTTAACAGATTGTTGGAAGACCTGGTCTCCAACAAAACAACATTCCTTTAGTTTCATCCTCATAGTACCTATGAGTACAATCAGAGTAATTTTTTACAAAGTAATTTTGAAAGATATGAAAATTTCCAAGTTCCATTTTTAATGCAGAAGCAGTTGTTTATGATACCCAAAAAGCCTTGTTTTTAAATATATCTGAAAGAATAGTTGTATAAAGTGTAGAAAAGTCATATTTTAATGTTACTGGCTTAAGAAAAATTTTCAAAAAATATTTTCTAAAAGCCCTTTTAGAGTTTTTTTGAATTTACACCCATTCTCGAATATACTACCGAACAGAACGACTGAATTTGAAGTTTTTCCTTTACAATAGTGTAAATTTTGGTGACAAGTAAAGAGAGGCTTGGTAGAGCAGTTGCTGGACAATGTTGGCAATGCATCTTTGTAAGGAATTTTATGAAGTTTAGGAATCAGGTATAGATAGAGTAGATCAAACTCAAATTTGTTGACTTGAATGTTAAATATTTGGAATATAATTGATTGGATAATTTTATTCGTGCAGCTATAGATTGTAATGTTGTCCTAGAGTGCTCATGAAAGTGAATGCCATTAGAAATTGGTTAAATATAATTTCCCAGAAAAATTTAAGAGCCATTCTCTGTAATGACTTGAACTTTTATGTAGGAGCTGTGGCAGAATTTCTTCAAACTCTCTATGAAAAAAGTCTTTGATACCGTAAACTCAAATCAGGCAAAAATTGGTTGCTACGTGTTATGGTTACCATAGCAACATGTCCTGAAGTTTGAAAAATGGCATTTTTCAACATGTTCAGAGTCCCACAGTTAGCGTTTGCAGCAAAACAAAGAAGTGGTAATGACTGTTTCTGAAAGTTGAAGGCCTGATGTCTTAAATGCATGATAAACATGTTTGGTAAATCAACTATTACATACGTTACTATGGAAACAAAGTATTCAAAAGTAATAATTTTGTTCCTTTAATTTTGTAAAATCATACACTTAAGAATGAAAACATCTATAGGTTGAAATGCAAGCAAATAATAGACAAAAGATCCTTGTAACATATACCAAGGACGAAATATGATATTTCTCATAGGTTGGCAATGATTGCCATGGTTTTAATACCACGATTACTATCTTAGTGTTTTAATCTTATCCTATCTTTTTAAAAAGCATATTTCTATACAACTGATAATCAATTTTTAAAGGCGTTGGTGTAACCCTAATTTTCACATTTCAAAAAACTCAAATTCAATTCTTTAAATAGAGCGTTGCTATGGAAATTAGCCGAAAAAATATGCATAAAAATCTGAAAAATATTCTATTTCCTTGTATACGTACCCTTGTATGTAGATTCCTGAAACTTTTATGATTGACATTTATGAACAACCAACCTGACTTTCAATTTTGACTACCAACCAATCTCTAACTGGATGCAAAAAGCTGACACATAGGGTCTAATATTGATATAAAATTAACAAAATCGAACATTTCCCTTCTTGGTAACCATAGCAAAAGTGTTGTATTTTATCAATATATAATATTCAACTTTAGTTCTACCAGATAAGTACTATTCAAGGTGAGTCAAATAATATGTTTCTTGATTAAAAGGTAAGTAAATTCCTGAGACAGCAAATAAATATCACTTTAAACAACTGGTACGTTGTTTCCATGGTTACACTTGCAAAGAGACAGTTAATCCAATATTTTCTTATGTTGTCGGTGTTGCAAGGTCCTAAGGATGTTTATGTGCCAGTCATGAATTTTATTGTTTTTCCTCAAGAAAGTAGCATTAACCCAATCTTAGCAACAGATTTTGCATGGTTACACTGTGTTACCATGGCAACCATGAAAGTTATTTTTAGAATAATATTGCCAATACCTAATTACTTAAGGTAAAATATTTTTATTGATTTTCTTAGGTTGTTGATTGAGTTTGATCATGTAACACCTATCATTAGTGAATATTGAGTGTATTCCAAATGTACTCATGATTACCACTTACTTAGAGATAAATTCTAAATAGTTTCTTTATAGCATAAGTGGCAACAAGGTGTCATGTTGTTGTGAGAATGGTTTGTTTGTTTTTCTAAGTTTTTATTAAGCCTTAATAAAGATTCAAAGTAGCTGAAAATCTCAATTTTTCCAACTTTTCTGGCTGTTACCATGGCAACCAAGACACATAGCAACGAAATTTTATTTGATATATGTTTCTGGTGTCAAGTTGTAATAATGGGCAAAGTTTCATCAAAATCGGTGACAATGCGTGGCAAAGATGTTTAAGTGATTACAGAGAATCGCTATTAAATGCTTGTTTGCTTGTAATATTTTACCTAGATAATTCAAACAAACAGTTACAAAGAATTAAAAGTCGTACAAGGGGCCATTTTTGTTTGTCATGTTAACAAATGTTAACAAATTGTTGTTCAATTCACTTTTGATGGAAATATATATCATAGAAGTGACTAATTGCTGAATCCTTTGGATATTTAGGCGTTGGCCTAATCACTTGTCAAAAAGTAGCTTTTATACCCCTGTAATGGGCAATTCGAGGGCATATAGCGTCTGGTTTGTGTTTGTTTTAAACTTTAACATTGGCCATAACATTTAAACGTTTATGCTGTGGCTTTCATATTTCACATGTGTATTTTTTGTGTCAAGACCTTTCTTTGGGTATCAACAATTTTACTCATGACTTTTTCTTTGAGTTTTTCACTTCCTAATTGTAGGTAAATGTCTGTTTTATTGTACTCATATTTTCTAAGTTTTTCTCAGTTATGACGAGAGGCAATTCACAAGAAATATATGAGATAAATAAAAGACACAATGTATTTGTAAAAATTGTTTCTCCTTCCCTACCTGCACATACAAGCAACGAACGTTCAACCCTTGTACATAGTTTACAGAGATGGTAACTGCAATATATAGTTCTTAGATTTAGGTTATTTATAAAGCCTAAAAGACTATTGGTTGTCCTTGTAACAAAATCAGTTCAAAATTGTTCGTTTCGAAACATGTTTGATATAGTGATGTTATATTTTTTGCTTTAAAGCAACATTTATCTAAAACAACAATTTTTATAGGAAGGTCCTTGTTTTCTGGCAGCAAGAGCAAGTCTAGTTTTCTGTTTTCTTTTTATTTCAACGTTTCGAGCCTAAATTTGGGGAACGAAAAGAAGATAAGATTTCAAATTGAATATCCCATCCTTTGAAATCTAAGAGAGTGTAACAGACTAAAGATATCGGGAGACTGCTTGTTTTCTTTGTTGAAGCCAACTGTACATACATGATCACTGAGTCTAACAATTGTGCAACAAGGAACTGTTTAAAGAACAAACATATTGGCAATTCTAATTTCATACATGTATATTATTTCCGATTCGTACTCGTAAATGCCAACCAATTATCAAAATAATGATTCTAGAGTCATAAAAGACATAGATCAATTTAAAAGCGGATAGACACGTGTTACTTTTCTTTGGAAAGCAATTAGGAAAATTTTGAAGAGAAGAAGACGGGTTCTGATTGGGAAAAGAAAAAATAAATCAGATACAAAGTTACGGCGTGTTCTAAGATCTGTGTATTATAGAAAAATTCTGAGCAAGCAAGTGTACTTTTCCTTCTAATATGAAGGTACAATGATTATGAAAATTACATTTACAACCTTAGATCTCATGGGAAAAGGAGAAATCAGGAGAAGAAAAATTAGGTTTGGCCATCTAGTAAGCACTAGCAATATATGGAGGCAAAGGAATGTGGGATTATAGGATATTGTTTACAGGAAGAAAAAGAGTAGTTTTTATAGAAAGTGTGGTCATTCAGTAAGTATCATTAATCGTGCAAAAGGTCAGACGTGGCGTCACATGTGACTATTTGAATTATTTTCGAAAATGCAAATATTCTTGAAATCTTTGTTTACTAATATACATGTACTCCCGTAGTGCACTCACCTAAACATACGCTTCGAAGTGATAATTTTTTGAAGAAAATATTTTTTACGATCTTGTAACCATACTTTTTAAACTAATTATTCCGACAAAACACGCAAATGGACAATATCACAATATTTATGCAATTTTCTAGGAAATTTTATGGAGATTAAAACCGTTTGTGACTTTTCATTTCTACATTGATGAGCCTAGTTATTTCATTCATATACTGTCAAGAACACGTAAGAAAACTGTTACATTTATATGTTCCGCTGTTTCCCTCCATATCTTCTCGGCTCCTTCAGCAATGATGACGCGGTTCCAACCAAAATGCCTGATTGTGTCTTCAATGAATTTCTCCATCTCCAAATACGGTGTAGAAACTCTAGCAAAGGTAGGGTACAGCGTTTTATCTGACAGTTTTCTTTCTGCACAACCAAAACTGATCATTGGAAGATTCCATTTTTTCGCCAAATGGCCAGCAGCTTCACACACGTCGTCACAAACAGGACCTGATTGAGGAAAATGGACAAGCCAATTGAAAGCTTGCGTGATTATTTTTATGAAAATTGGAGAAAAGTTTATATTATCATCTAGCACGAGTTATAACAAGGAGTAAGAATATTAGATTGAAAGGTTTTTTTTGTAAAATGTACATCACAAAGGAAAATGCATCAAATTTGATTTGAGATATATTTTCAAGACTTAAAAAATTATAGAATTAGCGATTTTTCCCTCAAATAGAACGATGTTTCAGTACTGAATTTAATTTGGCGTTGTACTTTTCACTCCAGCAAAATTGGTAGAATTTTGAAGAATTCATTATTCATGTTTAAATTTGAGGTGTTTATTTTGTTCATTAATTAGAAAACTTTCACGGGTTTAATCCCCTAAATCATCTTTTATTATTGATATCCCTTGTATCACTTAAATTTTCTTCATTCTGGTGATATTTCATAAGGTTATGAAATTAAAAATTATCCTGTATCCAAAATCTAAATACACCTGTGAATACTTATCTATCAAAAGCTATCAATTGTTCTAAAATGTTTTTCTGCAGTATTAAGAATAGTGCGTTAACCTTTCTCCAAGCCCATAGCATGATCATTACGCCACTTTTACAAGCATTTTTTCTCGTGCTATGTCCTCATTGTTTTTCCTGTTTCAGAAATTGCTTAGGTAGAAAGCTGACTAAAAATTGCCCATAACCATGGCTGTTAAACAAATTTCTAGCAATATCAAGATTCCCTCTTATTTGTATTGTCTTTTCCCGTGCTTTTTTCCTGTCAGCTTGTCAAATACCAGGTGATAATCTCAATTATTCTCCACTCACAAGTTTCCAAAAGAGCAAAGAGAACAGTGGAAAGGATGAATAAGAACATGTGTTTTAGGTATGATTGTTGACATTTCGAATATTAACAGATGCGTGTATTACAACAATGTTTGTGTTAGAAAAGAACAGACGGGTATTGATTATTCATATTCATTAAAAGTAAACACTTTTATCCACTCACTGCATGCTGTGAATATATAAAATATTATATGTATGATATAGAGTTTTCTTCATTTAAATATTACTATTTTGAATGAAAATCAAAAACTGTTTTCATCTGTTTTTATACTCATGAATTCCAACATTCGTATATAGGTAATGAAGATAAAATGTTTCAATTGCCATTCGAATTATTTCTTCTTAGAAGTAAAATATCATATATAAATCAAAGCCTTTGACTCTATACAGTGCTCTAGTCTATACAGTGAATATCATTACATTTTCGTTTAATTTTATATACTGAAATTTTTCTAACAATCAGTGTTTTTTAACATGAAAGCGGAAAATGAAAAAAAAAGCAACATGCATTGACATTACCTATAAAAGCATCGATATCTCGTCCACCACCCGACTCGAAGTCCATGATAGACACCAATTCGTAAAGACCTTGTCCAATGTCACAGTGGGTATCTTTGAATTTCCATATAAAATTCACACCAAGTCTCTGAATTTCAGGGAATTTGGAATCACTTTGGATCAGAAGAAATGTATCCTCAATTACATGGAATATTTCGTCTCCAAACACTTTAGGGCCTTTGAGTGGTGCTAGTATCCCAATTGTAATATTCAAGGTAGAGGAAACGGTCTTAATCATATGAGGTACGAAAAGCACTGCACATAGTTTAATGAAAATCATGTTAAGGTGGTTTTGTGTTAAAAATTACGTTGTGGTTTTCCATCGATGATCCGAAGAGCAAGGTCGAACAGACATCGAATGTTAAGTGCCGTATATATAAGGTCGGAAGTTAATACATCATTAACAATGCACCAATAAAAATTAAGTAACCATTCTTTCGATAGCCACAACGTTTATATGTAGCTTCAATATCAGCATCCAATAATGGCAGGCCTAGCGCAAAAGTGGCTTTTGATCAGCTTCCGTAAAGCATCATACAAGTTTGCTTGTCAGGAACTGAGAAATATGTAGCAAAGCAGCGCTGTCACGCTCGCGCATAAACAACCATCACCAATCGTCATGGTAATATCATTTCTACCTAAAGAATACAGCAATTCATCAAATTGCTTAAAATCATCTATACAATTTTTATTGATTAGAGTTATGTTTCTTGGAAAAATAATAATTGAGTCGCAGATATGAAAACTTATGCAACGCTTTCACATCCTTAATGAACATTTTCTGATATTTTTGTAGTCTCTTCGATAAATTCCATTATTTCTTAATACCTTATATTTAAGGGATTACCAATATCCGGTAGTGTGGCTTCATACAGCTAATAGAGCAAATTTCTAACTTAAAAACCAGGATGAGGGATAAAGAACAGTTTTATATACTTATAAATTTCCAGTTTATCTAATGAGGTGGAAATGTTAGCTTGTATCGACAGAATCTAACTGTTCGATTTGTTATTTTGTGTGAAATCGAAAACTCAGTGTCGTTCATCATCAGAATGAGATTTAAATTTCCTTGCTCAACCTAATTCCTTCCTCCAGAGATCTATAAAGAAATTGAACATATTTCAATTTATTTCATTGTTTACTAAAAAAAAAATTAATTTCTTTTTAAACCCTAAACTGATTTAGGTAACATTTTAAAAATGTTTAAAAAAAACATTAATACAATAATAATAAACTGAAAAGTCGTGCAAGGATGAACATATATTACTAAATAGAGACGGGATAACGTTATTTCTATATAATGACGGTCAAAATCAAATAAGAGGATATTTTCATCAACTGGAAATAAGCAACATGGCCTCCGGTTAATGTTCTGATTCCAGATTTACACCTGTATATAGATTAACAGGTATCCAATGCATGTAATTAAACATAATTTCCATTTTTCTGCCTTTCATCGATAATATTGACTTTTCACAACACCATTGCCTACTTGTATGTCATTTGCTCTTTGTATTACCTTATTACCTTGTAATACTTTAAGAGCAAAATAGTCAATGGGAAAGATGAACTGTTAGGAAATCGCATCGACATATTGGGTTATAGTGAAGGAAAACTGAAGTATTGTCATGCTCTAAATTTTGAATTTACCAGGTGGGAGTAAATACAAAATTTAGAACTAAATTTTGTAATTACTCCAACCCGGTAAATTCAAAATTTAGAACATGACAGTATTTATAATGTCTTTTGCATGCACTCTGCAAAAATAATGGCAGGGAAATATACAATTTTTGCAGAATTCTGCAGTTAGAGAATTTCTCTTTGAGTACCCTTGAAGGTATTATTGCGAATACAAGGTTACTTTTGCAAATACAACCCTATTGATTTAAAGTATGTTCTCTAGCAAAGGTTCCCTGTTGAAGAAACTCCCAACTCCTCGGGAGGAAGATTGGAAGATTTGGTATTTTCCCTGGATAATTTGCAATATGGCAAAATTTCCCCCAACTGAAGAAATGATAATATTTCAAATCTTCTCCCTAGAATTGATTGCTATGTAGCAAATTTTCTGCTCTTTATCAAAAAATAATTCCACCGAAAAGCTTGCGATACAGTGGACCATCTTTCAATTATGATTATATCCGGATTATAATTATTCCGTTTTTAAAATGTTTTAAAATGAAATTCAATATCTTTGACAACTATAATTATCTTTGATTCTACTGAACATGTTCTGATCATTTAATTTGTAAACAAAATAAGGCACTAAGCCTTTTAAATATGACACAGCACCGAATTGTAAGATATCTGAGACGCATTTTGATTGACAACTATAACATTAAGATTTCAGACTGCTAGAAATACCAAATAAAATGTTTTGTGAAAAATGAAGATGGAATTCAAGTATTAAAAAATTAATCAAATCGTGGGGTAAACCAATAATGGCTATGTTCTTAAATAATAAAATTAGAATCGATACGTAGAAAAAACTTTGACGGCATATTTCTGCCCCCTATATGCAAGATAAATTAAGTTAACATGCAACATAATTGGGTACATACCTCTAATTATTTTTAGAATGGGTAGGGGAAGAAAGTAGTGCAGAAAAAATTACAAGTTCCGTAATTTGCAGACCTGAATAACAAAAAACTGTGATAATGTATTAAACTGAGCCTCATAATTGTTGTTAAGGAGTATGTTCCCTTGCAAAAAAACTTGGCAGTTGTAATTTATATTGGATTCCGAAACTTCATAAAAATCCTTACAGACAAAGATACATAGCGGGTTCCAGTAAATGTTCTACCAAGCCTCTTTCTTTACTCCTCACTAAGATATTAACAGTAGTGAAGGAGAAACTTCAAGAGTACTGTGCAATAATATATTCAGGAAGTGGTGTAAATCAGATGTGGATACTAAAAGATTCCAAGGAAGTTTTGGAACATTTGAAATCACAAAATTTTACCAAAATCAACAACATAAAAACTTACGACTTATCAACTTAATATACAACTATTCCCCACGATAAATTAAAGTCCAGACTTTCTGACATCGTTGACAGCTGCTTTTTGAATAAAAATGGAACTCGTAAATTTACTTACCTTGTCATTGGTCATTTGCAAAGTTACTTTGTTAAAAACAATCTGATTGTACATACAAGTACTCTGAAGTTGACATTAAAAAGATGCTCGAGTTTCTGATTCACAATATCTATGTGGTTTTTGGAGACCGGGTCTTGCAATATTCTATTGGAATTCCCATGAGTACCAATTGCGCCCCGTTATTAGTAGACCTATTTTTCTATTCATTTGAAGCAGAATTTGCTCAAAATCTTTTACGTGAAAAGAAGATAACACTTGTTGTGGTCTTCATCTCGACATTTAGGTATATGGACGGCGTATTGTCAATTAACAATGGCTATTTCAATTATTATGTCGACACGACATATCCCGGTGAGCTACCACACATCTGTTTCATATTTGGATATTTTATTAGAAAAAGACGTTAATGGTAGTCTAACAACAAAGCTTTATGATAAACGTGATGACTTTAACTTTTCAATCGTCAACTTCCCTTACTTATGCAGCAATATGCCTTCATCACCTGCATACAGGGTCTACATCTCTGAGTTCATTCGATACGCAAGAGCATGCTGTACGTATGAACGATTTCTAAAACGAGGTAAGTTATTGACAAACAAGTTGATGAAACAGCAGTCTCCTTTAAAGTCATCATTTCGTAAGTTCTATGGTCGATAAAATGACCTTGTCAGGAAATACAATCTTTCATTTAGTCAAATGCTGACTGACTTTTTTCATACTAATTGTTATTTTATTTCCGTTATTTCCCGATCATGACAAGGAGCACATGGCAGGTGTGACTGGTTGGCAGGGGATGCTCACTCCTCCATGGCACCTGATCCCACCTCTGATGTTTTAGATGTCCTTGTTTGCTCTGCTCCTATTTTGTAATGTTTAGTGGACTTTTGAGCTCGAATACTGTCTCGAATATCTCCACATATTTCATCAAGAAGATCAGCAGAATTATTTTTTGTATTATAACACCAGCGAGAAGTCTTGAATTCCCCTACTTCCACTTTCATTTTCAGAGGTTAACGCAGACAGATGCATTTTGCTGGAAAGCGAATCTGACATGCCACCTCGAGATTTTAATCAAGGAAAGACAACTTGATGTGCTGTGATTTTAGGGGTCAATCACTTCTGAACGAAAATTAGGGACATTGCTATGTGAAGATACGTTAACATTGTCACCTATGGGAAAACAATTAGTGGACTGTACCCAATTATGTAGACATGCCACTTATCAATGTCACCATGCAAGATAATTACGTTGACATGCAAGTTACCAATCATTTTAGAGAATCTAATTTTAATATTGGTAAACTTACTTACTAACGCCATTATATGACATCATACAAGAAAGATACAACTGGATTATGTTGACATGCGAGATAATTATGTAGACATGCAACTTATTTATGTCAACATGCAAGATAATTATGTAGACATTGTTACGATACTCTAATATTAGTAATAGATATTGCGTCAGCTGATGTTGTTATTTTTGTTATGTGTGACGTCACTCGTTACCTTTTGTGTGATTTCCGGAAGCCGAGGAACACCAGCACGCGATCCTCTGCGAGACAGGAGATTCAAGAGACTTTAGACATCCGGCACAGGAATGGTGGATGTTTTCATACTTCATAATTCGACTTGGGCTTGGGCTAACCGGGGAAGTATTGCCGTGCCCATAGCGAGTGATGTTCGCGGAGATGGAGGACTTCCTTTTTGATTAACAGCTGAGTAAATTCTGTCCGCGAATTGTTTATTTTGTCAATTTGTGTGTAACTGTAATTGTGTGTGCTTATTTATTATTGATTATTTGTTTTTACTATTAAAAATTGTTAAAGTTTTAATTCGTTTTGACTGGTGTGTCATCGGGAGCCAAAAATAGGTTCGTGTATTCGGCACACGTTACAACATGCAATTTATTAATGTCAACATGCAAGATAATTATGTTTAACATGCGATTAATTAAGTCAACAGCAAGATATATATGTTTACATGCAACTTATTAGCTTGCATGTTGACATAAATATCTTGATTGTTAAAACATAACTCGCATGTTAACATAAATAAGTCGCATGTTAACATAAAGAAGTTGCATGTTAACATAAATAATTTGCATGTTGACACAAATAAGTTGCATGTTAACATAATTATCTTGCATGCTGACATAAATAAGTCGCATGTCTACATAATTTTGTTGGATGTAAACATAAACAAGTTATGTTAACATAAAGAAGTTGCATGTTAACATAAATAATTTGCATGTTGACATAAATATCTTGCATGTTTACATAATTATCTTGCATGTTAACTAGGGATGTCAACGAATATTCGAACATTCGATAATTCATTTCGATGAGTTGATATTCGAATATAAATTTAAGATTCGAATATTCGGTGTTTTACAGATTTCATAAAAAGAAGTACTGTGATTAATAAATTTTGATTAAATGAAAACCTTCTTGGAATGTCTAA